TCCCGAGAGCGAACGCACAAGCAAAACAAAGAACACAAACAAAAGCCTTCTTCCCCCCACCCCCCAAGATTTGAAAGTATCTTGTCCCCTTATTGGTCCTTTAGGTCAGATGCCAGCCAGGTTACCTGAGCTTCTTAACCCTTTACAGGGAAAAGGATTTTGGAGTCTCTGGCCAGGAGGGATTTTATAGTACTGTACACAGGACAGCTGTTACCCTTCCCTTTATAGTTATGACAGGCTGTGATTTTGTGTTTCTTGCCTATGACCTGTCCATGACTTTTACTAAAAATACCCATGATTAAATCATCGTCTTAACTATAAGTAGTGACACCACATTGTACAATGGGTCACTGAGCTAGGAGAATGCCCTCTAGATGCTACTGTAATTCTACTAGTTAGGAGCAGGGAAGAGTATCCTTCGCTGTAGCTGTGGGAGGCTGCTGTAATACAGGTGTATTGCTATTTCTGATCTAAAAATTTATAGAAATCGCTAGCCCATCAAAACATCTGCCCAGTTCTGAGGGAGCATTACAGCTCCTTCACAACCACTACTGCCTGCTGCTGTGCCCTCCCCACCTCACTAGCACCACTGATGGCAGCCTCTCCCACAAACAAGTACTGTTGCTCCCTGCCTCTTTCCAGACCCTGGCAACACAAGACTGAGGGTTTCAGACGCCCTCTGTCCTGCAGGAGGGGGCCCATCCAAGCACACTGGAACACATGCTTTCAGCTGGTGATCTCAGGTGGTGATTATCTTCTTAGACACCCTTTTATCCAGCACAAATCCAAGTACCAGGCTGGATGCCAGGTGCATGCCTGGGCCCTATTGCTCAAGTTGTATGGGGGAGGGAAGGGGTAAACTTACCACTCTAGCTCAACAGTTACTCATTCTTACCCCTCTTGCCCCCTCCCCTCCCAAAAATAGTTTCTTCCTGCTCAAGACTTCAAGATGTAGGCATCAGAGGAATACCGTACGCTCACATCTTGAATACTGTGTGCAGATGTGTTGCCCCATCTCAAAAAAAAATTGGAATTGGAAAAAGTTCAGAAAAGGGCAACAAAAATGATTAAGGGAATAGAACAGCTTATGTAGGAGAAGAGATTAATAAGACTGGGACTTTTCAGCTTGGAAAAGAGACAACTAAGGGGACATATGATTGAGGTCTATAACATTATGACTAGTGTAGAGAAAGTAGATAAGGAAGTGTTGTTTACTACTTCTTGTAACAAAAACTAGGGTCATCAAATGAAATTAATAGGCAGCAGGTTTAAAACAAATAAGGAAATATTTCTTCACACAACGCACAGTCTACCTGTGGAACTCCTTGCCAGAGGATGTTGTGAAGGCCAAGATCATAACAGTGTTCAAAAAAGAACTAGATAAATTCATGGAGGATAGGTCCATCAATGGCTATTAGCTAGGATGGGCAGGAATGGTGTCCCTAGCCTCTGTTTGCCAGAAGCAGGGAATGAGCAACAGGGGATGGATCACCTGATTACCTATTCTGTTCATTCCCTCTGGGGCACCTGGCATTGGCCACTGTCAGAAGACAGGATACTGGGCTAGATGGAACTTTGGTCTGTCCTGTAGGGCCATTCTTATGTATGTTCTCTGCCTTCACTGCCATTCCACATAGATGTTGAAAAGTGGCCAGTGGCTGATGTTTTTTATGCAATGAATATAGCCTTGTGCAGCCAAATATTTGTAAATAAACAGCAAGCAGAGGCAGTGGATATACAAAGTTAATTTGCCAATTTTATTCCAATGTGTGAGTGAACGTTTTTGGCTGTGCGTATGGCCCACAAGTGACAGTTAACCTGACGTGGCCAAGCTCTGAAGATCACACAAAAAAAAAAAACCACCCACCCATCCCTAAGAAAAAAGCGAGAAAATAGCAACACAAGGACCACCAGGATGTTGTGTCACTGGTTGAGATATATATATATTTTTTTTAAAAGCACTCAGAGAAGAAAATCAGGTGGGAAAATATACAGAAGGCCTCAGAAGAATGAAAGTTGACCTGGGAAGCTGGAGTACTTTACCCAAAGTGATCTGAGTATTTGAAGGAGAGGTGTAGCATATTAATTGTTCAGCTGCCCTATGGGCTGCTACAAAAAGGTTTAGCTATAAAGGAATAAATCACATTCCCAAGGTAGGGTCTTCTTTTGATGTATGTCTTTTTTTTTTTTTACATCTCTCTCAGCAGCAGCCACTAAGGGCCTGATCCAACTCCTGAGATCAAAACCTTTCCGGGGTGGAGCGGGCCCGCTCCTGAAAAAGGCTAGGCTGATTGGGGAAGCAGCCACAGCTGGGGCCATGACCCAGTCAGGCCACAGCTGGCCCTAGAAAAGGGCTGTGAGGCAGCAGCTCAGGAAGTCTCTCTCTAGTTGCGGAGAGAGACGGGACTGTCTGCTTGGAAGCTCAGCAGGGTACCTAGACTAGAGCAGGACTGGGGAAAGGCCAGAAGAGCTGGGGAGCTCCAGCCTGGAAAACCAGTAGGCCGCAGGTCTTGCTAAAGGCCGAGAATGGTACTGGAGTTGCAGAGGTGTAGCCCAGGGTAGGCAAAGACAGCAGGTCCAAACCCCCCTTGCCGATGAATGGTTGATAGACTGCAGTCTGCCCCAGAGAGCGGAGGCTAGATGGCAACTGGTAGTAGCCACTGAGGGAAGGTGGGGATAGAGGGTTGGGGGTTCCCCTGGGTGGGGAGACCCAGAGAGTGGGGGTACTTCCAGGGGGTAAAGGGGCACTGGGGTCCGGGAGGGACACAGGGGGCCTAAGGCATGCGGGATACCGGCCGGCAGAAGGCGCTCCAAGGCTGGAAAAACAAATTCCCTGGACGATCAGTGGGAGGCGCTGCGCCGGTGAGTCCTCGCATCGCTACAAGGGGCTTTAATGGGAAATGGAACTTGAGGGAATTTACCAGTTTTAAAGGGGATAACAGTTATGTTGTAATATTTAAAATATGTGAGGCATCCAGATGCCATGGCAGTGGGCTCCCTTAAAACGTATACTAGAAGTAGAATGTGACACTACAAAGTTAACATAGAAGGCAGCCTTTGGTTTACCATTTGCAAGACTAATGATACTCCTTAGCAAGAATGCCAATTCACAGCACTCGTTCACTCCTACCCTTAAAAACAATATTAATGGAAGAAATGGAGGAAAGTAGTATTCTGGTTACAACTAAGCACAATCAACTTGTCATTTGTTTCATCATAGGTAGAAAGCATTCAACTATTTCTCCCACTAATGATGCAGCATTACACCTTGGGGTGTATCCCTAGTCAAAATGTGTGTGTGGGGAATGTTGGAGTGTTACTTTCCCAGGCAAACATATTAATTATCCAGTCTCATTGTTAAATCCAAGCCAATAGAGGCTGCCAAGAATCAAAGCCTATTCCTCTGTGCTAGAGAACAAGAGAGAAAATAAGAACCAAGTGTCTTTATTGAGAAGCCAATACCAAGAAAATATTTATATCACTGCAGCCAACAATGCAGTTAAATTATCAATGTCTTACAGAGTTATCTAACTCGTTAGAAAACATGGAGCCTAGTTAGCTAAAGTCTATTTGGGTTTAAGTAACAGCGCATACACGTCCTCTCTCTCCAATTTAAGTTGTTTATAAGTTTGAGTTCATAATATAAACATTCATTCATACAGGGAGAAAGCTGTAAAATACTATAAAATTGCACCCACAAAATAGGAAATATACCAAATACAACTACAATATGGTTTCAGAAAAAAGGTCCATCCCCCTACTGTAGGTTTAGTTTTATAAGCATATTTCTCGCAGAAACTCTATTAAAAAAACCTGTAGTGGTGATGGTGATTAAGCAGAAAGGGACCACTACCTGTATTAGATGGAAATATGTTTGAGAGCTGTTAAAGGGGGTGACCTCTAAAGGATGCTTCCATTCTATCAATGCTTATCCTTTTAGGCTTTCAACAGAAATCCTCGTCTTAAGCTTTTAAAAGCCACTCTTAACTGGAGCTGCAATTCCTCCATTACTCAATGGATACAAATCCCAGTTTCTAACGACCCAGATGGAAATCCTAAATAAAACTCTCAAACGTTAATCTTCCAGAAGACAATTAATCTATGCTAAATAAGTAAAGAATGAAGCAGATCCTGGCTCTTTTATCATATAGCGACCACAGAATGCACAGATTTAATAAAGATAGCAGTTAAGGGAACAATTTTGCACATGCCTGAAATAGTATGCAACAGATTTAAATCTGAATTTAATAAGTGGATCATTATGGATTACTACTGACACAAACTAGACATCAATGTAATGTGAAAGAGACCATACACGAGTGTCTCTTCCTCAAACTGTTTCAAATTAAATAAATACACAACTGGTGTTTTTTTAAGACACTTAATTTTTGATTCAACTACAATGAAACCATAACTTCAGAGCTATCCCAAGTGCCATAAAAATTGATCTTATTTACAAAACATGAAAGCTTTAAGTGCAAGATTCAATTACTGTTAACTACTAACAGTTTTTGCTTTTGGGGGGGGGGGGTATTTTTGCTTTATTGCTACGTACCCAAGGTTCAGGTGTTTGAGCTTCTGAAGGCTGCTTATCTGCGTAGGCAGCTCCTCAATCTGGTTGTTGAAAAAGTTAAGCACTTCTAAATTCTTCAGATCTGCAATGTTTGGTGGCACAGCTGTAAGGAAAAAAAGTGCATTGCAAAATGAAAGATTCTCAGAGCAACAGCTTAGACTGTAAACCATCTTTTTGTTCTGTTTGTCTGCACCTAGCACAAAGTGGTCCTAGACCAGGACTGGGGGATCCTAGGAGCTACCACAATGCAAATGAAACAATTTCTACCCACAAGAACTGTTGATGGCCAGGAGGGCTCTATCTGGTGTCCATTTTCAAAGCCATTGCTGGCAGCACTCTGTCCTTTTAAAAAAATGCCATTAGCATTTTAAAATACTGAAACACCATTATTGAGGTGGGGGCAAAAACACCATGACAAAATACTTACTGTTCTGTAGGCAGAATGATAAGGACCCATGCCTTCCATTAGGTTTGTACAGCACCAAGCACACAGACAAGGCTCAGAAACATAACCTAAACTTTTGGATGGTTACATTAATATACATCAGAAAAATAAATAGCTCAGCCATCCAGACCTAAATGACAGTTTTATTTAAGGTCTTCTCTAGTAAAACTGAAACAAAAATCCATTCTGAGTGATGGTCCATTTCAGCCTGCTGTTTAAATAATCTAATATCTGAGTAGGTGTCCATTTAACATTCAGCTAAAATCACAACAATTTAAGTTCAGCCTTAAATGATGAACTGTTCAGCCAAGCCAGTTTTTGATTCGCCTCCCATGAGTAAAGCGCTGTGATCAATACATACAAAAAAGGTTACATCAGATTAGCAACAGATCAATGCATGGTTATTATCTAGAAATATGAAAAACCAGCCCAGCAGCACGATATGAATACGCCTTCGCAGATAAAAGGTTTAAAAGCTGTACGGATTTAAATCGCTTTTCCCACAGACAAAGAGAAACTTAAGCATGCAGCTAAAGTTTACATTACAGCTGGGGAAAAGATGACAAATCATTTGCACTGAAGCTTGCAACTGTACCCACACTATTCACCTTGGTGCATAATGTTAACTTTGACAACAGCAGGAAAAGTAGAGGGCAGATTTAAGTAATTATGAGCTTAAAAAAAAAAATCATGGTCTCATTAATTTGATGGAATGAGGCAATACGCCCCGCCTTAAAAATGAGCCCACAATATTTACACAGTAGAACATTACAGTATGTCATTTACTAGACTTTAAACAGAGATTGTTGTGAAAAACGTAACTAACAAATATTTATGCAGAGCAATTAGGATATTACTCACTGCTGATGGCTGTGTTCATGGGAGGACACATTTAGCAAACTGAATAAAAGAAATTAAGACAAATCTGAATATTTAAAAAAAAAATCTCACGTTGTCGTATGTTTTACCATAGCTGTGTGCACACAACTCCTGGGGGAATTCTGCACCACTGTGCATGCGCAGAATTTATGACCCCGCAGATTTCTTTGCTTCTCCGTCAGAAAAGAAAGCCAGAAGAATGGTCATGCGACCCTCCCCACCAGTATGTTTCGGGTGCCCAGGGCAGCCGGCAGAGAGGTAAATCACTGTGGGGAGCGGACAGGACTCGGGAAGACCCGGCTGGTGGCTCCTACCTTTGCGTTGGGCTCAGCTGCTAGTTCTGGCTGGGCTCAGGAGGACGGGACTTCCTCTTCCCCTGCAAAGCATCTGGGGTTGGGTCAGACCCATCCCCAGATTTCTCCCCCAGCTGCAGAAAGCTCTGCAAACTTCTCCCTCCACCCTCTCTTCCCGCTTCCTGTGCCCATCACTCCTCAGCTGCAGAGGAAGGGATCCCCATGCAGGGAGATGCTCCCCCATCTGCCCAACCCCCATGCCTCCAGACCCCCCCCCCATACCCATACCGTTCCACCAAGCCTCACCCCCACCCCCAGAATCTCCTCCCGATGAGCCCCATTCCCCCTTCACCTGGACCACCCTGATAAGCCACCAGCACCTGGATCCCCAACCCCACTGAGCCCCCAACACCCAGACCCCCCTGCCGAGCTCTATTCCCCCCCCCAGAACTCCCTCTCCCCCCCCCACCCCCCCGAGTTCCAACCACCTGGACCCCCCCATTCAGAGTCCCATTACTGTTGCACCCAGAACCCCCCAACAAGCCCCTGTGCATCCAGATCTCTACCCGCACCCAGATCCTGTACTGAGCTGCCTGCATGCAGATTGCCCCAGACAGACCCATCTCAACCCACACCTGGATCCCCCACACTAAACCCCTCCACACTTGGATCCTGCCTTGTTGAGCCTGCCTGAGCACACCTGGTATGGAGGGGCAAGATCCTGGGGTGTTTCTGTGTCAGGGTTGGGTTCAGCCTCACCACTGAGTGTGTCCGGGGGGGGGGGGTGAAGAGCTGCAAAGTGATCTCCCACCTCTGTGCAGCCACTGGCCTGTGCTCCCCAATGCTATGGTGGAGCCGCCACATTTATTTGACAAATAAAATGTGCAGAATTTTAAAATATGGGCAGAATTTTTAATGTTTTGGCGCAGAATGCCCTCAGGAGTAGTGCGCGCGCACACACACTGCACTTACCCAGTTGTTGACATCAATGGGAATTATGCATGTGTTTAGACAAATACCTGTTGTACTATACGCTGAAAGCCTATGACAATTTTCCACATAAGAGATTACTTACATTTTTAGATATTTTAATAATACAGGTGTCTTAAGCCTCAGAATATTGAGCCAGAGGCATTATCACAGTTAATATCTCTTGCTATCACAGATTTCTTACTATTACATGTAGTAAATTATGAAATTTTTCCCCTCAGCCATATCCATCGGGCCAGCATGAGCAACTCTGACGCCTCACACCACTGCACGCAGGTCCACACTGCTCCCAGCCGCTCTCAGTTCCTTCACACTAAAAAGGCTCCAATGCGGAAGGGAAGGAAGATTGATTGTGGAATGGACAGGTGTTGCACATGTCCAAAACCAATACTTTACCAAATTTTCTATAACTGTCTTTTCTTTGAGTGATTGCACATGTCCATTCCACAGCAGGTGACTGACAAGCAGCGTGAACTGGAAGTGGGCTCGGAGTCCACTTGAACAGTGATTGTAGGACCACCCGCCCAAATCTGGCATTGTTTCTAGATTGATGAGAAAGGGCATAGTGAGAGGCAAACATATGGACCAATGACCAGGTTGCCGTCTAACAACCATTCAATACAGGTAGACGAGCCAGAAAGGCAGTGGAAGTTGGCTGCGGCCTGACAATTTTCTTTGGAGGAGCAATATCAGCCAAGTCTGTAGCATAAACAAATACAGCTGGAAATCCAGGACGAGATCCTCTGGGTAAATACTGGGTGGCCCTTTACTCAGTCTGAAACCACAATAAGGAGCTGAGATGAAGACCTGAAAGGCCAAGTCAAATCCAGCTAAAGAGCCAAAGCTCCCCTAACAGGAAGTTTCTGAAAAGGGGTCAGTAAATATATTACTTGATTAATAGGAGAATCAAACCACTTCAGACAGGATTTTGGGTGAGTGAAAGGAAACCCTGTCCCTAAAGAAAATTGTATAGGGAGGCTCGGATACTAAAGCTCACAGTTCCCCAACTTTCCTGAGCAAGGTTACAACAACCAAGAAAACCACCTTCACACACAGGTGCAACAGAGAACAAATCGCTGGTGTCTCAAAAGGAGTGGGGGGGGGAGATGGAGGGCGGGAGACCCATCAACTTTGCTAGAACTAAAATTTAAACTCCAATGTCGAACCAAGCTGTGAACCGGTTATAGTCTGAGCAAACCCTTTAGAAATCTGATGGACATAGGGTTTGAAAAAACGGATTGATTATCCACAGGAAGGTGGAAAGCTAAGATAACTGCCAGATGGACTCGGATGGAACATTAGCGAAACTTGTTGTTTCGGAAACAAGAGAGAGTCCAAGATACGGCAAATCAGAGCTTGAGCTGGGGGCAGGTCTCTTTGTACTGACCAAACGGAAAATCTCTCCCATTTAACAAGATATGTAGACTTAGCTAAAGGCTTCCTACTATTTAGCAGAACTTCCTGTACCCCCTAGAGCAAACTCTTCCAAAGTTGTCAGCCATGAAGCATCCACACGGTCAGCTGGAAGGCCTGAAGATTGTGATGAAGCAGGCTGTGTAGTCTGTGAGATCACATCCACATCTCTCAAGGGCAGCAGTGGAGGTCTGACTGATACGGCTAGTAGAGTCAAAACCTAATGGTGAGGGAGGCACACTGGGGTTATTAGAATAAGGTGAGCAGAATCTTGCTCGACTTTGGACAAGACTGAGCTGGAGTGGAACTGGAGGGAAGGCATACAGCAGGCCTTTGGACCAGGGTAGGAAGAAAGCATCCGTTGGTCAACCTGAGCTGTGACCTGCTCGGGAACAAAAAGATGACATTTTTTGTTTGCGCTTATTGCAAACAGGTCTACTTGGGATGTTATATCACTGCTGAAAACTGGGCCGGGACACATCCAGGCAAAGAGACCTGCAAACAACCTATGGAGGTGGTCTGCAAGAGTGTTTTGAACTCCCAGAAGGTAAGCAGCTCTCAGGTTGATATAACTGGTCATGCAGAAATTCCAAAGGAGCATTACCTAGGGTCAACACCTTGCCAAATGCTCCCCCTTTGTTTACATAGAACACTGCTGCTGTGTTGTCTGTGACCACCAACAAATTGTAAGACCACCCGCCTAAATCTGGCATTGTCTCTAAATTGATGAGAGATGGCCCCAACAAATTCCACCGCTTGATACGTGGAAGGAATGCCACACAAACTAAATGGATGGCCCAAAGCTCCCTGATATTTATATTGTAGCCTGATCCTTTTAATGCTTAATAATAATTGTACTGCTTACCAACTGATATTAATTAATGAGCTGGGGATAATAGGGTTCTCATCCCAGAATCAGGCTCCACAGAATTAAAATCGACAAGTTCAATATCTTGTAGGGAACCATGGAGTGTACGGCAAAGCAAAGCTGAGGGCAAAGCAAAGCCTTGGCTGTTTTTATTAAAACTATCAGTAAAGACAGGAAAGCTCCAAACCTCATAACCAGATAGCAGTAATACAACA